ACCCCCCCAGGCACTGAGCCCAGGCCCTGGCCCTTGGCTAAGTAGTAAATCTGGATATGAGGAAACTCCGCCCAGGATCCAGCTGGAGGCGGGATGTTTTTGGCACTGCACGGTGGGTCATTGATGCCGGCAGGAACAGGGGAAGCCGACACGCGTGCTGCAGCTTCGTGGGAACTGCATCAGAGCAGGTCCCTTGGAGGAGGCTGGGACACCAGCAGTGCCCACGGGTGCATCCCGTTCTCCCCACCTGCTGCCCTGATAAGAACCAGGGGCTTTCTGCCCCCGGCATCAGGTCAGAGCCTCCGTGAATCCAGACTCCTTAAATAAGCATCAGAGAGCAATCACAGCATTGCGATGGGGAGGTGAGATGATGCAGGAGCTGCTTTGGGACCCATCTCCCCACTGGCCAAGTGGAGCCAGGAAGAGAGAGCTGATCCCAGCAAGGAGAAGGCACCTGCAAGGATTTTGCAAAGTGCCTGCAAGGATCCAGCTTTCCAGCAAGGAGGAAGAGCAGGAAGGAGGACTTTCCACTGGAAAGGAGGGTGTAACTCACACCCACTCTCAGGCCCCTTCCCCGGCCCAAGTGGCTCGGGTCCCTTTGTGTCAAGGATGAGTGAGCCAGTGTTTCTTGCCAAGATACGATAGTGTGTTTCCTCCTCTTGGAAGCACTCGAGTCGTCTCTCAAAGGATTATCCTGCTCAGGGGGTCAGTTGGGAAGTGCTCGGCCAGGCGGCCTGGGAAAGGCTGTGGGATGCGGATGCGGGGATGGCATCAGGCTGGGAGGCAGGAGGAGCTGGGTGCCACGCTTCTTCCCATCCCCTCCTGCCCCTTGTCTGCTCAAAGCCAATTGTGGGGCCACATTGGTCTCCTCTATTCATGTCCTGAACCCTGGGAGCCAGGACTGTCTCCCTTGGGCATGCACCACAGCAAGTTGATACCAGGCCCTGTTGCATGCTGCAGCCACCAGGTATTCAAGCCAGGATTTCCCAAGGGCCAAGGTGCCCAGATCTCCATGAACCTAGGCCCTTTGCTCCCTCAGAAACCCCAGCCAGGGTGTCCTGTCCCAGCAGGTGAATGCTACTAGCTCAATCCCATAAACTGGCGATGGAGGGTGGTTTTGGGGGGAGGGATAAGGCGAGCTGCATTCTCATCTGAGCGACACCGTTCAGGAAGGACCACATGTGCCCATAACCACAGCACCCAGACCATCCAGGTGGCACCAGAATAGGGTTTCACCCTGACATTGGTGGGGGCAAGGCACCAATGAAGAGA